AATGATTTTTTGTCAATAATCATTGTGAGCAAAGTCAAGTCAGACTTCTTCTACATCTGGTAGTGTAAATTTCTTTAATCAAAATCCTTACAATAGAGGGTCTTGAGAAATGAACTGTAGGTAAGTCTACCTGCAAAGGTTTTCCAAGAATAGTCCCAATTGCATATAAGATAGGTAGGTCAAAAAATTAAAGTTTGAGTTCAGGTAATGAGAACCAGATAAGCGTAATTGGGGGTTCTTGACTGAGATTAAAATTAGGGGTCCATTTGAGCAATTTCATATGTTTGCCCTCGATTGTGATGAATTTCTTTGAGAAGATCATCGTGTAATTTTCTTCTATGCTCAGTTGTATGATAACATGTCTTCCGTCGAAATGACCCACATGTCAATCCCTAACCAGTTTGAAATCTTCAAAAACTTTTCTTTTAATTTTCATCTTAGGGCAACCTAATTGTAACTTTCCAATTAGTGTAAATTTATATTTTCCTGCACGAGTTGAAATTTCCGCTCAGAGAAAAAAATTGCTGGTTTGCTCGTTTTTTTCTCTACTTTTTTAATGAAATTGCAATCTCCATTTTCTGCAAATGGTACATTTGCGGGAATACCAGACTATCTGCGAGGCGGAAAGGGGAGCCGCGCTTGTGAACCACTATAGCATAGGAGAAATTGGCGGGATTATCACCGGCGACGGCGGCAACATAGGAAGATGCTGAGGCTATTAGGTGCTTCACACAAGCACTACAGCAATTGACTGCCGCCTAAGAAACGATACGCGAGGAGTCCAGAAGGTCGAGCAGAAAACTGTGGCAGAATAATCGAGCGGCCTTGACGAAGTAGACGAGGAGCTCGAGGGAACCTGCAACTCGAAGTGGGCCGCGAAAAAAAGCCGTAGATGACGAGTAGGCTCGAAGCAGACAAGCAGACGACACAGCGCAGGCTCGAAGACGCAGCAGACGAGCTAGCTCGACGACGCGAGCTCCTCCGCCAGCCAGAGCCGTTGACGAAGCAGAAAGGATCGAAACGAGCGAAAGAAAGTAGAAGTCTGTTTTGGGCTAGGGTACGCCATGAGCGGAAATCCTAGCAGAACTAAAAGGAAGACCCATGTGTGTGTGTTATATATAACACCCCTATTCTTGCAGTTTCTCACTGTGCTGTAGGTTGGCACTAGCTGCTGTAATGGCCTCAGGAATTTCCTATGTCGCCACTCTTGCCAGTGATAACCCCGCCAAACCCTACTGCGGTTCTAACGAGATTGAGACTATCCTTGGGACTATCTATCTTGTTCTCATTACCTGAATTCAAGCTTCATTCTTTGACCTACCTATCTTATATGCAATTGAGACTATCATTGGAAAACCTTTGCAGGTAGACTTATATACAGTTCATTCCTCAATGTCCTTTATTGTAAGGATTTTGATTAAACGAGATATTATACTACCAGATGTAGAAGAAGTATGATTTGGATCTGCTCACAATGGTTATTGACAAAAAATCATTATGAAACAAAAACCATACTACTGCAAGCACTGCAAGATATTTGGACACCCGCAGGAGAAATGCTTCAGATTGCACCCACAATTGAGAACCAATAATCAAAAGCATAGACACACTATTAGCGCACCTCATGTGTCTGAACGCTCTCCCAGCAAACCTGATGACCAACTGACAACCAACCTGAGGAGGAAATCACCACAAGACAGGAGTTGGTGTCTGCCCCTGAGATCCCTTCTCTTGACCATACTACAACAAATAATGTTCGAACTGAAAATCAGAATAGTCCCACAGCTCCTGTTCGCTCCTGTTCGGGAAGCATCAGGTGCAGAGGTAACAATTCACACTTCACATACATTGGAACCTGTCCCGGTGGCAACGACTGTCTTTCTTCCTACTACGATTCTAACATCAAATTAGATCGAGGATCACATGAGTCAATCTTCAGATGAAGAATGACAAGTTTACACTTCTCGGCGGAAGAAGAAAGTTGGGGGCACACTTCAACTTGAAAACTTAATGGATGATACTTTGGTGACTCCTGAGAATGACACGACTCTTCAAAGTTTGTTATCTGGTTCCGCTCCTAAAACTAGAGGAAGAGGCAGAATTAAACTGACTCGTCCCTAGCTACTTTTTTTCTGCATGTTTTGAATTTGTTTTACATTTTATTGAGTCTATCTGTATTTTTTTGTTGGGATATTACTGTACTTGTATTGTATGGGTAGGGTGCCTCATTTGGGCTCTTCTCATACAACATTTATGTATCATTTTCTGTTTCAATTATATATTAAAAATAAATTAGCATGTTTTTTGAAAACTCTCAGATCCATTTTTTGGTGTTTTTGACTATTTTTAAAAATAACGACACTTCATTAAATATCCAAAAGAAGTATGTTTTTAATTAAAATATAAACAAGTTAAAATAAATAAAATAAAATATAAAAAACAAAAAAATAATAAAAAAAAAAGATCCCAAACTGACCCTTAAGGGAAACGCATTTCTATGAATTCCTCCATGCAGGATCAAAGCAGACTTGTGCACTCTGTTTGAAATGTTGTTTTATAAAAGCAGTCAAGTATAACAGTGAGATTATGACACTCCATTGTCCTATTTTATACTAAAATTTTTTCTTTTTGATTTATGGGTTTGTTTTTTTAATGCTGTTAGCATTGTTTATTTTTTTGTTTAAAATTCTATCTCCATTGTCAAGTTTGTGTCTGAAGTCCTGTTTCCAGTATTTCTTTTTCGTATGTGTAAGGCTCAAATTTATATGCCTGCTAGTTTTTCATGGGGTCGTGGGCCGTGGCTCCATTTTTTAATGGACCATGCAATTTTGAGTCGCTGAGAGCCATTACCAAGCAGGCACCAAGTATTTGGCCATGGTTTAACCGCTGCATCGCTTGAGGCCAAAAAGTTTCAAGAAATTTAAATGAGAATATTTATTGTTGAAGAGCAAGGATCAAAATTTGGTGTCATATTATTTCTTGAAGTGACTGGCATCTCTCTTGACGGATGAGAAGAATCCAATTTGTACGGAAGGGGCTTCTTGGGAGGGTTGGCCTACCCTTCTTACTGAGCATCAGTGATTTACCACGTTTAGGTACAGTTCTATTGTGCAAATGAAGCTTGATAGAGGTGTAAATGATTCATGTCGAGCTTGAGCTACCCTCAGCTTGATTATTTAATCGAGATCGAGCTTGAGCTCAAACTTAAGTTTACGAGTTTGAGAAAACTCACTAGCTGGTTTTTCTGTTATGAAAGAAAGGTAATAATATTAATTCAAGTTAGTATTATAATAAAATGACAAATAAAATGATTTATTGGAGTCAAATAATAGATAATTATTTGTTATAAAATGTTAAATAATTTTTTTTACTTTTATTATATTTTGAGTATACTTTATATTAATATATTTTTAAACCAGCTAACGAGTAGAGTCTAGGTTAGCTTGAGCTTAGCTCTTTAGCTCATTGAACTCAACTCAGGAGCCACTTATTGAGACCAGCTCAAACTAGCTTAGCTTAGTTACACCCCTCGTTCGTGATGGAAGTATTTTCATTGTTTTATAGATTGTCAGGTTTAATTCATTATTGATCATTGCATGTCCCAAGTTTTGCCTGCATAAAGTCTCATGACATGAAATTTTTCTCTTGATCTTATATTTTGATACTACAGCAACAACAACATTAAAGATATATATACTAAAGCTATTACTTGTGTTCGAACTGAATGAGGATTGACCAAATTTTTTCTTATTTCTGTTGGATTACATTAGGGATCGACTTTAAGCCCATATATTTTTGCTTTAGTTATGGATGGTCTTACTGGACATTTACAGGAGAATGTATCTTGGTGTATGTTTTTTTGCTGCTGATGTCCTTCTCATGGATAAGACGAGAGAAAAAACCCAGGAAAAATTTGATTTATGGAAGTCTACATTGGAGTCTGAAGGCCTTCATTTGAGTAGAACTAAAACTGAATACATGGAATGTAATTTTAGAGTAGTAGCTTTCGTGACGGCTTTCATGACGGAAGTGTAACTTTTGGTGATCAAATTATTAAAAGGTGTGAACAATTTAGATATCTCAGGTATGTTTTTCAAGGCGGTTGTGATATAGATGGGGATGTTAACAGTAGAATTCAAGTTGGTTGGTTGAAGTGGAGGAATGCTTCGAGCCTTTTACGTGATAGAAAAGTACCGCTTAGACTGAAAGGAAAATTTTATAAGATGGTGGTGAGACTTGCAATGCTCCATGGCACTGAATGTTGGCCTTTTAAAGAGAAGCATAATATTAAGTTAAGTGTTGTCGAGATGAGAATGATTAGGTGGATGAGTGGCTTTACACTTAGAGATTTAGAGACAAAATGCGAAATGAATGTATCTGTGATAGGGTTGGTGTAGCTCCAGTGATGGACAAAATTAGAGAGAGTCGTCTTAGATGGTTTGGTCACATTAAACGTGATGATCCGATTAGGAGAGTAGATGTTTTACATTCAACTTATGTTAAGAACGGCGGTGGTAGACCTAGGAAGACTTGGGCTTATTCTATAAAAAATGATCTTAATTTATTAGAATTAAATGAAAATAGGACGCAATGGAGAAAAAAGATTCATGTAGCCGATCCCAAGTAATGGGATTAAGGTATTGTTGTTGTTGTTGATCTTATATTTTAATATTATTGTAAATTTATACACTTGCGTGTTTGGGCTTGTGTATTTTCAGATTTTCAGTTCATCACATTTAGCGCTTTCTTTACTTACTCTGCAGAGGAATGGTGAGTTGAATAGCTAAAACCAAATCCAATCTACTTTCCCTTGTTTTTGTTGGTTATGTGTATTTGATAAATTCACAGATATTTGTCATTTCAAAGTGTTGCAGCACAAGCTTATATAGTTTATTTGTTCAAGTAGCGTCAGAATAAACAAATTATTAGCCATAAACAATGTCTAATTTTTATATACTTTGAAGCTTCCCTAAGATGACATTTTTATCTTATGTTTCAAGGTTATTTCTGGTGATGATGATTTGCCAAAGAGGGATGATATTGCAGAAAGGCGTAGAAAGCACGAGCTCAGAGTTCTCGCCAGGGCTGGGGTGACATCAATGGATGATGGCGACGAAGCTTATGATGACCCTGGTATAAATACTGTTGGCACTGATCTCCAAGAAAATGAAGAATTAGATTCTGAAGATGAATTCTATAGAAAAGTCAAGAAACAAAGGGCTGAAAAGCTTACTGCTAAAGCAGAACTTTATTCAAGGTAAGCACCCTTTCTGAAAAAAGTAAGAATCCAGTTTGAGTGATTCAACCTCAATTTGAAATTGAAGATTCGAATTTTCACTTTATTTTTTAACAACATATTGAGTTTTATTTGAAATTTGATTCAAGCAATATCTATTATTTTATAGAAGTATTTTTAAAACTTTAGTTGAATTTAACATATATTGTTTCTTGTTATTTATGTATATATGAATTACCTAGTGCCATACACACATGTTTTTATATACATATTTGTTGAGTCAATTAAAATTTAAGCAAATTTCTACTCATCAAACACAATTATTTTTCATCTCTCTTGAAGCATCACAAGAATCTTGTCCCGAAAATTTTTTGGGATTTTTTGTTTGTATATTACTAAATTTACATAAAATTTTAGGCATTCAACTCTGTTCATAAACCTCTTGCAGTCTAGAAGAACAGTCCATTTAATGCTTTTAAAAATAATAAATTGTTATGAAAACTATGGGTTTCTTATTTCACTTGTAGATCAAAACGTAAAACAATTTTAATGGATAAAAATTTAGTTAGTTCTTCTAGGAGAAGCACACAATTCTTATGTATTTACAAATGTCACACATAAAATGTAATGTTTACACACATACCATTCAAATCTTTAATATCATATAAAAAATAACACTATTACCCCTTTTTAAAGTGAAATACACCTGGTCATGCATAGGATTATAACACCAAAGTGATTTTTTATGTAGGCGTGAGATATGTAAATATACATAAGAATTGAGATAAATGTGAAAGTTTAGGCGTGAGATATGTAAATATACATAAGAATTGAGTGCTACGTATGTAAATTTCCATAAAAATAGAATGTTTAAATATTTAGGTTTTTATTATATTTGTTTTCTTACTCACTCTAAATGAATGGTAATGTGAAGCAAATTTATAGAATAAGCACGATTAATTGTATCATCCTTATTTTATAGCACATGTACTTATACACAATAAAATCTGCTAATAATTTTAGCTCTATTGTAAATCAATATTAATCATAGTATTACAATGATAGCATTTTGCTTTGCGATTAATTTTGACTGCAGTAATTCTTAATTTCATTACTAGTACATTGTTAAAGGTTGCCAGAGAGTGCTATATTAGTAAGATTTAAATCTTTAGGACGGCATACCAGTAACTATAAAGAAATTGAGTGGTATTCCAATAAATATGAAGCCTCTAGTGCCATATGTGTCAAGATCAGCCCTTGGATGAGTTTATTTATTTCTCTACTTCCTACATTATCTACAGAGCTCACGCCACGCCAACGGCGGAGCCTGAAGCTGATGGAAAACGCCAAATCACTCGTCAGGTCAGTTTTTATTTTTACAGGAATTTGCATGCATACCACCCAGTTCTTATATATTTACATATCCACCACCAAAGATTTACTACATTTATTCAAAAATACCACTATTTTAACTTAAAAATGTAATATACATTTTCATGCATGTGTAAGCGGGCATGCATGTAAAAATTGAAGCTTTCCGTGTTAGATGTGTAAATTCATAGGAATTGACCGGTATGTATGTAAATTCTACTCCTTTCTATCATCTTGATCAAGTTTGAATGAAAGGAAATGAATTATATCATCTTTATACCAAGATTGTTTTACCTTTTCCATCAAAATTTCCAGATAGAAAAGAATAGAGGTCTCACTCGCAACAGGAAGAAGCTCACCAAGAATCCACGGAAGAAATACAAGGTAAGCATGACAAGCATTTCTAGTTTTAACTTTAAATGTCAGGTGGATTAAATAATAATAATAATAATAATAATTGTCTTTTATTATGATTTTGATCAGATCAAGCACCAGAAGGCTGTTGTTCGCAGGAAGGGGCAGGTACGAGACATCCGAAAGCCCAGCGGTCCTTACGGCGGCGAAGCTACCGGAATCAACACTAATGTTAGCCGCAGCATCAGGTTTAAAAGCTAAACCACACGCTGATTTCATTTTGCTTTTTAAGCCAGGCTTCAGATTTTGTTTTTCCTTTATTGCTGATTTGTGCTGAACGGCTGAGCAGCTTTGTTGGTGGTGGTCGTTTGATTTGTTTTAGAATTTATTATCATAATGTCAATGTAAATCAACCGATTTAAGTTATTTATTTATTAATCTGTTCGTTGAAAGTTTTGTTCGGATTGCATGATGGTCTTGGGGCTCATTTGCTTGTTAGCTGTAGGGCTGTCAAAACGCTCGTTGTTCGCGAATAGCTTGTGTTTGGCTCGTTAATTTCGTTCGATAAGTTAACGAACCGAACACAAACTAAGATGTGTTCATTCGTGTTCGGCTCGTTTTGGCTCGAAATACTATTCATCATGTTTATATATATATTAAGTAGTATTTTAAAAAAATCTAATTGACTACAATGCTATAAAGATTTATAGTCAATTAAAATATTGATTAAGAAAATAGAATAAAAATTATTAAATTAGATTCAAATAATGTTTTAATATAAATAATAATTTTTAAATCTTGTTCAAACCCTTATTGTCTTATGACTACATGATTAGGGTTATTAAAAGGACTTTTTGTTCATGAACATCTCGTGTTCGGCTCGTTATGCAAACGAGCCGAACACGAACATATTTTTTGAGCTCAAAATATAAACGAGCCAAACACGAGCTGAGCATGGCTTGCTCACCCTTAGTTAGCTGATTGAATGGATATATTTGTTAATTAATATTTTTGTTTTTATTCATTTTGTGAAAATTGTGGGAGGGGGTCACATTTTAAAATGTTTTTTGGGGCAAGTTGCCAAATGGACTCTGTTGCAGGATGGAGTGGTTTTTTATCAAATACTTTGTTTTTGTAAAGCTCAAATACAAAGTAAGCCTTTAGGCATTTTTTTTTAATTTATTTTTGTTTGTTTTTTTCCTGGGAAGATTTACATTCATATCACTCATTTCTCATGTATTTTCATATTTAACCCCTAAACTTCATTTTCTTACATATATGCCAGCATACCTATACATGAGAATTTGCATGTCATTTTTTTTTAAAGTTATAGTGGTAGCATTGGTGTGATATGAAAGGTTTGGGCGGTATAAATGTAAAAAGCAAAGTTTAGTTTGATATGTAGATACATAAAATTGAGTGATATGTATGTAATGCCCCTATTTAATGAAATTTATAGCTGTAATCCCGCACAACATAATTCTTATATTTTACCCATCTAACACTTACATTTCAATGTTTATTTACAGTATTTTAGTAATATAATCACATCAAAATACACATAAAAATGTGTTTTAATTTAGGAAAAAAAATAATATTATTGGTATATTGCTGTGATGTTAAAAATTTTGATGTTATGTAAGCAAATGTTCAAGTTTAAGTTTTAAATTTGTAAATACATAATAATTGTGTGGTATTTATGTAAATCAGCCAACAAAATACATAATGAGAAAGAGCCAAGACCAAGGAAATATTCTTAGAAAAAGTTTGAGCGTTCCCCACGTCTCTATTTGATGTTAGGGCTATAGATTTTACATAAGAAATTATTAATATTATTAATATTATTTTGCTAAAATCTAGAAATTATTAATATTATTCCCGTTTGAGGCAGCTTATTTGGTGCGGTGGTGTTTTGAAAACGTGTCTGACTTGTTTGAGTAAACTGCGTTTTGGCAACTTGGCAACTTATGTGGCAACTTATGCGTTTTCAAAATGCAGAAAATAGTGTTTTCACACCGCACATATCTAGGTGTAGTGGGAGCTTATTGGCAACGGTCTGGTCTTTCCAAAAAAATAAAAATTTGTAATAGTCACCGCACCTAACTTATTAGCAGATTATTTTTAATCAGCTTATCAATAGATTATTCAATAAACTACAGCTGCCCCAAACAGACCCTGTAAGTCTAGTTTGAAAAGTTGTATATATTTACATGGATGGAGTCTAATATCCACATATTAAAGGCCACAAAATTTATAATTATTAGCTATTTTTAAATGAAAAATAAAAAAATATGAAAAGAGATTTGAGAGAAAAATAAATAACTGAAGTACTAGAAATCCATGTTTCATATCATCACAAAGATGACTTCTCCATGAATTCTTTAATAGCATGGCTGTGTTTGAAAAAAACCGCATATATATTCAACTCTTACATTAAAAATTAAATTTTGGAAAAATGAAGTTGTTGAACCAAAATTCTTTTAGTTATATTACTCATATTGTCTATTTATAGATTAATTATTCGTTGGGTAGTGGATATAAATTGCACAAACGTCATTTGCTTCTAGCTTGTATGGGATTAATTTTATTTTTTATTTTTGTTTTTGAAAAACATATTTATTTAGTGGGTTTTTATATGATTTTTTTCTTTTTATTTCTGAAAATAAATTAATGTGTTTTTTAAAACATTGAAGATAACATTTCAAATATTTTATGTGTTTTTAAAAATAATCATACGCTAATCAAATTGTCAATCTTGTTTTGTTTCAAATCAAAATATATTCAAAATAAAATAAAAATGAAATATAAAACTTAAAAGTGATCCCAAATGGCTTCTTTTCACTTATAGTTTTGATATCTACAAATGCAATTATCAATCCTCTAATACATCTATGACTTAAAACCTAGCTATTATTATTTGTTCTTCTTATATGTGGTTCTCTTTGGCATTATGACTTCAACTATCTATTGGGAGATGAGGTGAACATTAGAATTTGTGCTAAGAATACCTCAGGGATTAATTTTAAGATCAATTGAAATCCATTTTTACCAAACTTATGGATGAGAAAGTATGATTTGATAAGATGAACCAACTATACCATGAGCATATTCATCAAAACCAAAATGACTCTACTTTAAGCACTTATAAGCATAATGAAACACATTATGAGGCTACTTGGGACAAACAATACTTAGATTTAGTTTCACGTATGTAGTATTTTAGTGGAAGCCCTATGGGTTGACTCAAACTTAACATAAGGGTCTAAGGTTTGATCTATTTTACCCATAAGGTTATGGCCTTTAAGCCCATGTGCCAAGTGATTTAATTATCCTTTATATGTTTTAATTGGTTTAACACATGTGGATTGTTATTTAACTCAAGTTAGCCTAATTAACACAAGGCAAGGTGCTCCTTTAACCTTAGTCTATGCTAGTTGAATTTTGGTGACTTGATATTCTACTTAGTTTTTAGGCTGGCTAGTGACCTGCAGTAGATGATCTCAAATGATCGCGAGTCATTTAATGACTCCCTCACCTAACTTTAATGACCCCTTCTTAACCTTATATATGGGAATAACCTTAGTTCTAATATCATCTTAAGAATCCTAATGCACATGTGACTTGTCGTTACATCTAATTTAGTGTCCTTAGACTACTTGGTATGACATTCTTTCCTTTTGACCTCTGTTTAGATTAGTTTGCTCTAAGTTTCCTTTTCACATCTATTAGAATAACTAGTAGAATTCTCTAAATAATATTAGATGAGTATAATTCACTCAACGACTTCCCTTACACTTCCTTAACATTAGCTCTATTGATAGTCATATTCCTAGACTATTTTAATGATCAAGGACTATGGACCCTCGCCTTCTATATTATAACCCTATTCTATTTGAGTATAGATGATCTTAATATATATATGATCTTAATATATATATCAACTAGTATGATTTGACCATTAGATAATTAATGGCTTTAAATAATTCTAATTATTTTTAGTGATTACGTTGATAAATTTTGTTAGCCTCTCATGGGAATTATGATGTTTATCACAAGTTAGACTATATTGCCCGATTCGTAAGAACTTAGGACCTTAAAATGATAGGTTTTTCCTCAAATTAGATTATGTCCATTTCATGGTCTTATAAAATCATTACTAAGTTAAACATATAGGTTAAGAAACTTTGAAAATGAATTCCACCTAATCCCATTTAGAAAGCATCTTATTACCTTATGATTTTGGAGTGGACCTCACTTCAACTCATGGGCACCTCTTACATGCTTCAGTCTTTAGGCCTTGGATGCAATACTTAGTGAGCAATTACTCGTATCCTTATTCTTAGAGCATATGCTTTAAGACTTATAATGATACATCTCTCTATAAAAAAATGTTGGGGTTGTCTCTTTTACCTTTTAAGTTTTTTTACAACACTTTTCAATACACATGTCATGTTATATTTAATGTACATTTTTTATATTTTAATAATTAAATAAATTTTGTTAATTATTTTTGCTGTTTGTGATTGGTAGAATTTAATCTCATTAGAATTTTAGAATATAAAACTTGTATCCTACATTTAAAGTGATAAAATCAATCATAAGTAATTTAATTTCCTGAAATGTAGTATAGAACTTTTATTTAAGCGAAATTTTAAAAGTCAAACATTGAAGGCCCCTTGATGGAATGTAGATATACCATTGATGTTTGATTGAATACATTTCTCATTAAAGGTAATCTTGAGAGAGATTAAAAAATAACTTAGACTAATAGACATTTCTAAAAGCATAGTTAGTCTACATATTAGAATTGCTTTCCCCTCTTATATTAAGGATAATAATTCTATCTAATACTATTCTCTTCATTTTTGGCCAACGTTTATTTTAGTGACAATGTCATATACCTTTTCTTAAAAATAATAAACTAGCATAATATTGCATTTTGTATGAATTAAATTTTCTCCTTTAGTTGTGATTTTGGTTTCATATTTTAAATTACTTATATGGGTCCAAATAGTTGTCTCCTTTAGTTGTGATTGCAAAACCAAATGTTAATTTTCTTAGCCTCTTATGAACTTTAAGTTACAAGTCTCAAAGGCATCAAGTAGAGGGCCAAACCTTAATAATATGTTGAGTCTTTATTATAGATCCAAGTTCATGGCTAAGAAAATTTTGTGATGCCATTATTTGTTTTTCATGGAAGTTGCTGATGGCATATTCACCATCTTGATAGAATTATAAGCCTCACTTTTCATAAAGTGTTTAACTTGATCATAAATTAATAGGATCACTATTTTAAAATATGAAGCCAAACATAGGGCTCCTTAAACATCCTATTTCTCTTAGTTGCATGCATGTAGCTCATTTTTCCCTTAGGTTAAGTCTTTCTCCTGATGATATTATAAATATCTTAATTCCTTAGTTACTGTATTTAATATTCTTATACAAATATTATGACTTTGATTGACTGTGTTATAGTGTCCACATGTCTT